GCCCCTGCCTCTCTCGCAGAAGCAGCAGAGCACAGCTGCCTGCCCCCGAGCACATCGGCATCCCCCGAGCACGGGGCAAACCCGGCAGCGAGGTCGGTGGGGTGCAAGGAGCAGAGCTGGTCCCTGGAGACCAAACAGCATAAATGAGGTGGGGTCAGCCCTTGCTCTGTGTTTGCTCTTCTCATTTAGACCCTGCAGAATTCCATCCTCTGCCTTTTTCTCGCTGGTCCCTAGGGCAGCTGTACTGCCAGACGCCGGCAGCATCACCAGGAGCGATGCCTGCGGGATGCTGCAGGGCAGGGGCACGGCTGGTACCCACGGAGCCTGGGGCTGGGTGACTGGGAGAAGAGGAGATGCTGCAGGGTAGGGCCACGCTGGCACATGTTGGCTGGCAGCTGTGATTCATTTCCCAGGAGGAAGAAACACGTGGCTGTGAAGGTCCTGAAAAGCAGGGAAGGCTTTGCGGAGGCTGCGCAGGACGAGGTCGCTCTCCTCCACTGCGTATGTATATCCTGGGGCTCCGTGCTTTGCTCCGTGGGGATGGCCACTGAGTTCAGGTCCGAGTACCAGCCTCATTGTCCCTTTTCCCTCCAGGTCTCAGTCTGAGGAGCTAGGTAGGGAACAGAAAAAGTTAGATAATTCCTGGAAACTGCCTTGGCTCAGCACTGGCCTCTAAAACGGGCACCTTCTTCCTCCTGTCATACTGGGACATACTGAGTCATACTGGCTGTGTCCCACTTGCCCTATCAGCCCATTTCTTTCAGCTGAGACCAAAATCTAGTAAATTGGAGGAATCTGCAGAAAGATAAGGTGGATAACCAGCAGAAAAAGCTGGTGATGTTCTTAAGCAGGAGATGAGAGCGTGTCCACAGTATCTGTGGTGTTCCCAGCACCAAGGGCATTGCTCTGCCGCAACACTGATACCGAAGTAAAAGGAAATATCTGGAAAAAAAAAAAAAAAAAGCAGGATGTAGGAAAAATATAATAAACATCTCAAGCTAGAAAGCTTCCTCCTGCCTTTGCTAATGGATGCAGTGATGAGGTGCCTGTGTCTGGGTCTCCGCTAGCTGCCTTTGAACACGGCTTGACCTGCTAGTTCTAGAAAGCTCGTGGTTACAGTTCTTCAAGTTTGCCTAAATACAAATTTACATCAGCTTTAGATGAGTAAAAGCCATTAAATTTTGCATTTCAGGTTACTTTGAGGCCTTTCTCCAGCAGGTCTGAGAAAGGTTCAGCTCACAGCTGTCACTCTGTGGTCCCCATCCCCAGGGACACGAGCTGGACTCGGGGATGCAAGAGGAAGTACCAGGTGGCACTAATTTAATGCCATCAGAG